ATTTACCTTCTTGTTCTGTTACTTTAATATATCTGCAAGAAAAGATGATGACAGAAACTTAGTAAATCTTAAAAGAAGTCATATTTTTAGACGAAGAAAAACTAGAAATATTTTGCTTCATGATATTTTTTTTTGACCTTTCCTAATTTTTTGTCAGCAATTTATATTTATAGAATTTCATTCCTGATTGTCTATGTTTGTTTGTTTTTATTATATTCATCTATAGAATTTTGTACAATGTAAAGCAATTATATTTTTTTTTACTAAGAAAATAAAGATTTTTCAAGTGTACCTCATGATGATGGTTAGAATTCTTTGATTTATGATTTTGTATCGGTAAAAAATAGCGTTTGAAAATTTATATGTGTAATGAAACTTATTTGAAATCTTTAGAGATGGTAGTTGTAGGAAAGCATATCTATAAAAGATGTTGAACACGAATGATGGTATCATTCATAATTTATCAATATTCGTGATGTGATTTTCTAAATATTCAGAAATCATATAATTCAAATTTCTTTTATCAATAAAATAGGTATGATACATCGATCTATGTTCTTTTTTCTTCTTTCGTTAAAATTATAGGACATACATTGTAATTTTCTTTTAAAGTATAAAAAAGTTATGATAATCCTTAGGATATGAGTATACTCAATTGTCTTTTTATTCAGTCAAGTGAGTTTTTGTATAACAGTGATATGATCATGTATTTTACTGATTTATTCAGTAAGAGAGTTTAATATAGTTTGTAACATATTTATAATAGATCTATTTGTTTGTAAAATATTTTTATCAATTTCTTTGTGAACAGATATTTATTGAAGAGACATGCATTTATTCCAAACAAGTTGAACAATTATAAATTTTAGATACGATATATCTTAAGGAAACAGCAAGAGTTATATATTTACTTTTTATAGAAAGAAAAAATATTTATTTTTCGGTCTCTGATTTTATATGCTTTACATTGTTTTAACACGAAGAAAATAAATGCAAATATATATATATATATATATATATATCAATTTTCTTGTGATAAATGGAAAAGAAACAAAAACTTTATATGGTTATTGACTTCTATATAGGCAACTTTTTTGTTTGAAAAGATTTATTATGTTTATTTTAGCTTTGAAAAAAAAAACAACCAAAAACATGCCGTATGTAGAAGATAACTAGTGTGTTTCGATATCAACTTGAAATGATTTATAGTTATTAACATAGGCGGTTTTGTACGACTAATAAATGCTTTCTACATATTTACTGTCATTCAATAGTTAAATTCTTTAGTAGGAAGAAGGTAGTTATATTTCATTTACTCAAATATTTAATATATTTCAAGTTATGATTGGTGGTAACAGTGATGGAACATAAATTGAGTAAAAAAGAGTTGATTAAGTACATAGTTAAGATTATTATTACAAAAATCATTTCTGATTTAATGAATTTGATGTAGTTTGAAATTCATTCTTCTAAAATCAATTAATCAATCATTGAATTTTAAATTAAAAAACAACAACAACAGCAATAAATAAATTGAGTTAAACGTTGTTACCTTGAAACACAAGTTATGAACTAGTTACTTTTTTCTCAATCTTAAGAGATTACGATCGAAAATTAACACATACAAGAAGAGAATGATCTATATATGCAATACTATTTACTTTACTTTGTTTTTACGTCTGTATGATGATTAACATATAGACATTATCTTTTTTTAATTTGAATATGCTTACTTTGTATAAATCAATGTTTGAATAATTCACTTCTAATTTAATTTCGTTGTCATGTGAGAAGTTTCTTCTGGATTACAACAAAATCATTGTAAGATGAATAAAGATATTCCTTCGTAAATAGTTACAAACTGAAGATGAATGAATTGATTACTCCTTCACGCTGATGATTTATTAAAAAGATTTTTGAATTGGTAGATAGAGCAGAGTTAAATCTATCAGTCTGGTCAATCATCATTTTTGTTCAATTAAAAATAATTGAAATCTACTCAGAAAATGTACAAAACTTTTAGAGATTAACCGTAATGACTCGCATGTAGAAATTCTTACAGAATTATAAATCAGATATATGTCTGATGTAATATAATGCATAAAACTCTTCATTAACTGTTGTTTTTCTTCCACTTAGTTGAAATGGTACATTCCAGAAGCACTATCTTCTTTTTAGAGTATCCGATTTAAGATAAAGTCAGACTGAATTCTAACATTTTTAAAATGTTTATCCAATGCATTTTTCTCATTTTTTCTCATTTTTTTGTGTTTTTTTTTTTTTTAACTTTTCGTGTTAAGAGTTTACACACAACACAAGTGTAAAAATGATAAAGCATACACAAATAAACGAAAAAAAGGTTCACAAATATAAATAAAACAGACAACTAAGGTGGAGAGCAGGACGTAATTACTTTTATTCGTTTTGCTGTTCAGATTTCTATCCAATCGTATTCAAATCTCAATAGTAGTTTACATTTTCTGGAAAACAACAAGTCTGAGATTAGTGAATCTGAGGTGTCCGAAGGAAGCTGTTTCGTTGTCCTTATGTTTGTTCTCATGTTCTTCTTGCTTTAAAGGTAAATAAATGTAATGGACTCTCAGTTTTACCTGTCTTCTCTCTTTCTTTATATGTCATTTAAAACTTCTTTTATTTTTTTCATTGATGATAAGAAGAACTTGCCAAGCTTTGGTTAAAAGATTAACAAAGCGGACGACATACTGTTTAAGACATACCACAAAAGTAAAAAAAAAAGATAAAGAGAAAAATAAAAAAAAAATTTACAGGCACTCAATTCTTGCATACCGCAACATCGTGATTTTCTATAGGTAAGAATCAGAGATATTATACCATAATAAAAGAAGTAAAAAATATCTATACTGTTATTCAAACCTAAAGTTTAGTTAAATCTTAGATTTACCTACAAGGAGCTAAGATATATGTGTACGTACATATTCTGATTTTTAATTCTGTCTAGTCAGTTCTAGAAGAATCCATGAAGGATGCTCCCGAGACAGTTGCTCCCGCGACACTTGCTCCCCGGATACTTGCTCCCCAGTGGCAGTTGCTCCCCCATTTATTAAAAAATCCTAATAAATCTCAAAAAAAGAAATCCTAGTAGCTGCGGGATATTTTGAGCTGAAGCTTTGTCAAAACTTTGTCGAAATTTGTTGTTGTTGTTTCATTCAAAATATTTAAAATACGCGTTTTTCAACGAATTTGTTCACGTCTTCGTGCTTCTCTAGCACCGGCTGCTGCTTGAATAAATCTGAGCAGCAACATAAGATTGTCTTTTTTGAACCTTTGAAAAACTTTCTTGAACTTGTCGAGAAAAAAGACAACTGACTGCCAAATGAAATTAAATGGCACATATGGAGAGCAAGTATGATCGGCGAGCAAGTATCGTTGGGGAGCAAGTGTCGTTGAGGAGCAAGTGTCCGGGGAGCAAGTGTCGCGGGAGCAAAAATCTACACCACATTTATCCGATATTTTTTGGCTGGAAATATGTCAGAGTAATGTATGGAATATATTTCAGTTTCTCGAAATTCAATATAAGATTTTGGACGGCTATAAATAAATAATCTCAGGATGTCTATAAAACGTTTTTTCTCAGATTTTTGAAAACCTCATTGGTTAGACGCAGTCGAGTGTGCTGATTATGAATAGCACGTTTAAAATTGAATTAGATGCCGTGCCGTTTTCATTGAAAAAANATATTTTTTGGCTGGAAATATGTCAGAGTAATGTATGGAATATATTTCAGTTTCTCGAAATTCAATATAAGATTTTGGACGGCTATAAATAAATAATCTCAGGATGTCTATAAAACGTTTTTTCTCAGATTTTTGAAAACCTCATTGGTTAGACGCAGTCGAGTGTGCTGATTATGAATAGCACGTTTAAAATTGAATTAGATGCCGTGCCGTTTTCATTGAAAAAATTGACTTTTACCTTCCAGATGACTCTACTATGTAATTTTCGGGTTTTTATGATTATTACAGAAAAGCACTTTAAGTATTTAAAAACCTGGGTTTTTTACTCAATATCAATTTATGAAACCAGATTTATATCAAAAATTGAGGAAAATGTTTGTATTATTCGGATCTTTGTTATATTCTGTTTCTTTGTGGACAAAATCAGTTTTTCTAGCTAAAGCAAGCTAGTCTTTAATCTTTCCGAGGAGTGTGAGTACTAGTCATACTTTTTGGTTTGGCAGCTATCTGGTGCTAGTGCGGTTGGTGTGTATAGCAGCTCTTACCAACCCCGTTCCTTTGTCTTAACGGGATATTTTCACTTTTTTTGTCTCGTCTTAAAAAGAAAATATTTTTTTTAGAGAATATTTTTATTTTAGAAATATAGATGCTTAAATAAAACAAAATTGATTTTCTGCAATTGAGTTGGTTACACATCAACTTGATTGTTTCCGCTGCAACGACGCATCTCAATTTCAAGTTTCTTCAATTTTGAGATGATACTAACGTTAGTTGAAATTGACAAATGAGTTTTCTACTATTCACTAATTTTCCCAACACATTGATGGTAATGATGATTCCTTCTCTAAAACCATGCAGCAGTATCGTGACCGTTACAATGGCTACTCCAATTCTAAGCTTAATGGTTATTGTTTGACTGTGCTGCCTGATTGTGATAAAAAATTTATTACTCTAGCTTGCTTAATACGGTAGTTAGGAGTAAGCTAATGCGGGATACTGATCACTCGAATCCTGCAAACCAAGTAAAGAATTACAATCTCGAGTCAATATAATGGCTTACCTGGCAAGACTATCAATTACACTGGTGAACATATAAAAAACAAATTTTTTCTGTTCAACGTTTTTGTCTTGTTTCAGATTTAGGGAATTATTCATGACGATTCTAACATCTAACCAATATTGGTTCGCTATACAATCAATTCATCGAGCATGACTCAAATCAACTAGCAATTTTAACCACTAATACTGTCATTATTTCATCTATTGTTTTTTTTTTAATCCGTCCATATGGCTGCTAATACACATTCGAATCTAAGACTTTGTCGTTTATGCGTATGGGAAAATTATAATGGTCTTGGTTTTAATCTCGACAGACAGAATGGCCCACCGTACTTAGTTTTTGCAGTTGAATCGTACAGTCCTGCAGCGGTGGGTGGTCTTCAAATGCAGGATGTTATATTACAAGTAAATCGTGAAGATGTTGGGAATGTTGACTATGAAACCTTTAGACAGTGTATTGATCGAGCACGCCAAAAAGGTTTGTTTGACTATAAGAAACATCATTGTTCAAACACTAGACCGTAATATCGTATTTTTTCCGCATATAGGTCCAGTGGAATTGTTAGTGTGCAACTCAAGTAAGTATCAAGAAATGAAAGCAAATTCGATGCCAATCGACCCGAGCTCAGCAATTAGAATGGGGACTCCTGCGACAATGCCTGAGCACATACGGAATGAGTACATGCAACGAGCACCGCGTATATGTGAAATTAAAATGAAACCAGAAGATACTAGTTTTGGATTCGCGGTTGCTAATGGTGAGAACAAAACACGATATACTCTCCTTCACGATCC